GATCGACAACAGACAGGAATGCTGCCTTCCAGGATTCATAGTCACTTTTTTCTTCGCCAGAGACGATAGGGAGATCCACTCCTTTAAGTCTAATGGGAGAAAATGTCTGTCTTTGTTCTTTGTTTTCATTGGGTAGCTCTGAATGTTTTTCTAAGTGACGGTTAATAAGGAAGTTCTGTACTGTATCATTATCCGATACTTGCGATCTTCGTTCGGCTTGTTCAGCCCGGGATTTGTTGAGAGCAGCAACTTTCCTTGCATCATCGGTTCGCTGTTTTGTCAGCTGCAGCTGAGCGGTCAGCTTTTGGATCTCTAGCTCCTTTACTCGCTGTTCGTTTTCCATTTGGATTAGCCTTTCACTAGCCTCCTTTGCCTCTTTTTGTTTCTGTTCCACATTTGAGGACTTTTTCGACATAACTGGAGACTGGGGACTAGTTTCTTGTGATCGAAGTGAAGTTAACACTGAGTCAGTTTCTCCATTGCCAAGTCTTTCCTCGAGATGTTGTTCAGCCATTACAATTATGGAATCGACTGAAGACCCGATGTCTTCAAGTTCTTTGTCTAAAGTCTCGATAACTGTGTTGGTCTCCTCATTTTCAGCACTCACAGCATAAATCTCTTTTAAGCCAGAAATAATTTTTTCAATAATACTGATCTCGGAATTAACTTTATTAATAGCACTTCTTATGGCATTTTTACTCGGCAATGGTACACCAGGAAGTTGTTTTTCAATTAGGTCGTTCAATTGTTTCTTAGCTTTTGTCAGCCTGGTTTTAGCCGATTTTTTACTACTTCGTAAAGTTTGAATCTTGGTACTCACTTGTTTGCTTTCTATATTCAATGTATTTTCTTCTTTTTTACTTTCGTGGTCGGCGAGATGAACGTTTTGAATACTGTTTACAGCTTCAACACCTTGGTCTGTCTCTTCTCCCGGCAAGTCTTGTTGTTGTCCACTCGTACTAAGCGCCATATTTGTTCGCACATTCACAACAAAAGTCGCGAATTTCTCGTTATTTGTCAACGAATCCGGCTCTCGAAGGACCAAACTTGTTCCCGATTAATTGAACTGTCTATAAAATGTCTACACGAGATAATTCGCCACTTTATTCCGAGTCTTTAAACACAAAAATAGCCTAAATATCGTCACACTTTTTGTAGTCGAAAAATATAAACTAGAACGTTCAAACAACGTTTTGTCGCCCGCGCGACTATTTCAGCGGTCATGATAACAAGTACTTCATATAATAATATCGTTCGTTAACAATAATAATAATAATAATAATAATAATAATAAAAGATAATACGTGTATAATGATTTCTTTCCCTCAATTTAAAAAAATTAAATCGATACCTTTCTTTGCAAATTTAAAAAACGTCAAAAATCAATATTTAAAATTTTCCCTTCGATTTAATTTTAAGAAAAAAGGATATTGTACTTGTTGTGCCAACATTAAAAAATGTGCAAAGTTTTAAAAAATAGTACCGAAGGAAAACAGAGAATTTGGGTTTAATTTTGGCAATTTTTACTAGATTTTTAAGCGAACAATTTAATACCCCAACTGACGTGTACATGCATTCTGCATAAAACAACAAGGCATGACTTTTTTGAAATCACAAAGTATAAATTATGTTTGATATACTGTTTATAACTGACAACTGTGTCGGTTAATGGTCAACTAAGCGTGGATTATACATGTAAAATTAAGAGTAATTTAGGTAATTACTGATTATGACTTCTTGGTATTATTTGAAAAATGTTTGTCAAAATTCGTCCTGTGCGAGTTAGTACTATCGTCGGATGTTTTCGCAAAATGCCCGTTCAACTATTTCAGTTTTTATAGTGCTATGCATGTTTGGAGTTTCGGCCCTGCTCATTTCACGCGTAGAGGGATCATTATTTAAATCATCTTTATTGTCATAAGTGCTGCTAGACGGTGGAGAAAACACTGCAAATTCTTCATATTCTTGAGGAAACTTTATATCATATCCCAATGATCGCGATCGAACCTCGCGTACGGCGGTTCAAAAAACTTCCAGAATACCGCTTGAAAAAAAAAAAGTTTACATTTTCTTCTTTTGAAACATCACATCCAAGTATCGTTTTGGCTCTTAGAACTCTTTTTATGCTTTCAACTAAACTACTAAAGCAAAGTTCACACTTTTGTTTCAAAAAAGAGTTCCATATAAAACACAACGTTCGTTCGTATTTTGAAGTCACACGAGTTTTAGTTTACATATATACGAAGAACGTAACCCCCGGACATAAAACCCTAGGGAGCCACCTTAAACACTTAATTAAAAGTGTTTTCGACAGAGACAAATCAATCACTGATCTATATATTATACCTGTTGAGTGCTCGATTGATGCTCACGTCTATAGTAGTTCCATCAGTAGACTCAATGACATCAATTAAATATATTAATATTGAGTTTACTGTGGTCCTTGCTTCAACACGAATTTTCCGAAGCGGACATTTTGCTATTTGCCATAGTTTTAGGTACATGGGGGTAAAGGGTTGGAATTGACTTGAGACGCTGTGAAAAACTGAGCAATGTCACATCCATGAAATGTCTGATATTTTCACCCATTTCTAACCAAACTCCTTTTGCTCTTGCAAGAGGTGTAAAGGAGGGTTTCTAGCACCTTTCAAACCAGATTGCTTGTGCTTGTGTTCAGCATTTTCAAGGGGCTGTCCATGGCATGTTCCTAGGCATGCTGACGAGCCCAGATATAGAGCAAAAGAGTCTATCATACGCTGAACATTGGTAATTGTGAAAAGTATGCCATGAAGTTTGATCAAATAAAACATCTATATACTCCCACGAAAATCGGACTATCATCCTGACGTCAAATGACGTCATAGAATTTTGACTAGCGTACGAAAAATCCTAGACACTTAATTCCGTGTTCTAAAATTCCAGCTTTTCCGCCGTTCCAGGTTTTAAAGATTCCGGCTTTTCTCATTCTGGGTTTTAAGATTCCGGCTTTTCTCATTCCGGATTTTTAAGATTCCAGCCTTTTAAGATTCCGGCTTTTTAAGATTCCGACTTTTCTCATTCCGGGCCAATCTCCTCCCCAGAGCCATTTTCACTCGGTTATTTCGCAGAGGTTTTTCTATATTTTCGGAAAAATTTTACTATCAAAGTATGTTAATTAACAGAAATATTTCGTTTTTTCGTAATACTTGTATGTGAAAATTGTTACGGGTGCTGAAGCGTTCCAGTTCAAGAGCATGCGCTTTAGGAACTTCTATAACTTTTCCTGCACTTTCGGGTTCCGTGTATCCCATGGTCTAGTTGTCTGTGCACTTCTCATTAAAATAAATATGAAGGTCGCGCGCGACAGCGAGGCCCTGGGAACGAGGATGATTCCGGGTTTTAAAGACTCCGGCTTTTCTTATTCCATTCCTATTCCGTTCCTTGATTCCCCGTTCCTGGTTTTAAAGATAGCCGATAATTATTTGCATTAAATTAAACCGGTCTTCCCGAATCCGCAGTAATGTATGTTATCCCCCCCCCCCCCTTTCCGTTAAACACAATAATCGTTTTAACACGCACCGAGAATAAAAATATTTATTCGTAACTTTATTACATTAACATCGAATTCTAACAAGTTAATCGGTGATAACAGTTATTTGGTACTAGTCTACAATTTTTATTACTTAATTAAAGAAAAGTCGAGTCAGAGAGCTTTAAAAGTCTTCAGTTTACCTGTTGTAAATAGAAATACAATAAAATGTACACATTAGGATGATCATGAGCAAAAGTAAGATTACAGACAGTTTAGTTGTTGAACTTGTTGATTGCACGTATTACCTCTCAGACTGGGGTTTGATGTCTGCACTAAGCAGATCTGCGCATGATCACAAATTAGTTGCCTCGGTCCTGCATGCATGTATGTCGGAAAAGGGTGAAACCAGCTTCATTTTATCAATATCACAGGTATTTTTTCGGCCAATGCGGCTTTCTTGTTTCTTCATGTATTAAACGCTAGGCCTGTATGGGATCAATATGGGATTGCCATTACCAGGGCCCTTTTAACCCAAAAGACTGGAGAGAGCAAGTCCCCCAAGCTCAATGTTGGCTGGCTTCTCCGAAAGTAAAGCTTTAGAAGCTGAAAAATACAAAATTTTTCTAAGGGTGCCCCCCCCCCCATCCAGTTCAACACCTCATAGTTGGGTCCCTTTTTCTTGATGACAACCCCCTCCCCACCAGGGCCTCTTTTAACATAAAGACTGGGGGAGACATGGCCCCCCAGCCCCCCTTACTGCCCCCCAGTCGGCAATTTTGTCCCCCCCAGTAGAAAGTCCCTTTTCATATTTTTTGGTGTGAAAATAACTCCCAAAGTCAATATTGGACAACATAATTAATCCTTATTCCAGTATTCCTTTCGCAGAATCTCTGCTATTCCTTTGCCTTCCCTTTCTGGACAATGAAAAATAAAAAAATAGTCAAATAGGAAATTTCGATCTGCAAAAAAATATTTTTCAAAGTGGGACTGGGAACGAAAGTGGGAACA